TTTAAAGTGCTATATAAACATAATATAGGTTTTCACAGGTTTTTTTTTTACTAACTCTACTCATTTTGCTAACTCTACCCTTCCTACTCAGATTCTGGCCACAGGCAACATATTACAGGATTAAGAGTTAGCATATGAAGCCTTTGTTCAGCAAAGCATTTCCATGGGTCTTAGGTGCATTTTCAAATTCAGCATATGTTTATGTGCTTTGATGAACTGGGGCCATTGTCATGCAGCAAATAAAGAAATAAAAACTCATTGATATTGCATGTACACTGTTGAAGCTGTGTTGTCAAAGGAGCCTCAACCCAGTGCCTGGTAACACATGAATATAATTCTAACTATGCAAGTCACTGGAATGTACAATTTTGGAAATGCTTCATTTCCTCACACAAAAGCTCCTGCTTGAGTTAGGCTGCATGCATACATTCAGGATTTAACTTATATAGCAGGGTTTCCTTTAATGCTTTCAAGCCTGAATATCAAGAAATGAATTCAACTTTTTATGTTCTTAAAGGAGCCCACAGACAGCCTTGAGGATAGCCTTCTGTATACTAGACCTGAGTTTATTATAGGAACAGAAGGGGAAGAGGAAGATAAATTGGCAGCAAAACATGGAGAAAACCCAGGAAATCATACAGAGACAACAGAAAATGCTGGTGGGTTAAAGAGACATTTTGAACTGATTGTTAAGTGGAGCCTTCCTATGCTTTTATTCAGATAAAGAATAAAGCATTTTAAAGTGAACTTTTAAGCTCAGCCACTCAGAATTGATTGCTGGTCATACATTTAATGCTTTCCTAATTTACTTGGGAAGCTGTATGTATGGGATATACATTTGTGGCAAACTTGGCTGATCAGGTAAAATAATTAAACAAACCAATCCTTTGATAATCTAGACAAAAGTGCTTAGGGACAAATTAATTTGTGATGTTTTTCTATTAAGTGCAATTGGAGTTGCAGGTGAGATAAATTTGCTCTTGGCAATAATCATACCTTCCTTGCTTTATTTTCTAGTTTCATTCCTAACTGGTAAATTCTATGGGATTAATCACACTGTACGTCATTTTATTTTAACAGCAATAAAAAATGACACTGAGAGAAAATTTTGTTACCAGCAGCTTCCAGTTACCTTGAAGCTCATATACACCATATTGCAGGTACAATTGCTTATTTAATTTGACATAGTTCATTAAGGTTTTTGCTGACTTCAAAGTAGCATTAATCACATGATTGTTTGCACAGGAAATGGCTAGATTTGAAGAACCAGACATTCTTTTCAACATGCTGAACTGTCTGAAGATTCTCTGTCTACATGGAGAGTGTTTATATATTGCGAGAAAGGATCATCCACAATTCCTAGCTTACATTCAGGATCACATGCTGATTGCAAGGTATGCATTGAACATAGGAATTTCTGAATACTTTATAAAGCCATTCCTATTTATATTATAGTAACCCCCTGGAAGCCCCAATCAACTTCTGAAGTCTGTTGTGCGAGGCTTTATACAAATACATAATGAGAGACACTTGCTACCCCAAAGAGCTTAAAGAGTTTAAAAGACAAGACAGAAAAGGGCAGGAAAGAAACAGATGTGGAACAAAGGAAAATGACTTATCCAGGACCATTCATCATGCTGAAACTTGAATCGGAGTTTCCTGACAGCCATCCTGGTGCCCTGTTTACAGAGTAGCTCAGTATCGAATGTTCTCCAAAGATTTTTTACACAAAAATTTTCAATATTTTGACTGCTCTGCCAGATGCAGGATGAAAACAAATGTCATACTATCAGAATTTCTTAAAGACAGAAGTTTTGATTTTTGATCAACTCTAATGAATGTCTAGTAGTCTGCTAGACAGCTGTAGGTATTTTTGTGAACAGTGCTATTGCAGTTGGTAGTTTAGGAGTGATGTAGCCATGATGGTCCAGGAATTATGGTCTGAAGAAGAATGCCGTGCATTCAAAAGACTGTCTGAGGCAATGGCCTTAAATTGTAGGAGAGGAAATTTAGGTTGGAGATTGGAAGGAACTTGATGATGATGAGGGTGGTCAGGTCAAGCACTGGAACAGGCTACTTAGAGAACTCATAGAATCTTCATCCCTGGAAATTTTCACTTGGCTGGGATGGGTTAGTCTAGGTTGATCCTGCCTTGAGCAGTGGGTTGGACTAGATAACCTTATGAGATCCCTTCCAGTCATATTTACTTTCTTTCCTATCCCAACCATGAAGTTGATCCAATGAAAAATATCAGCCACACCATATTGAAGTTGGCTACTCTATGGGCCAGGCTCCCTGATCACACTATATTTCTAAAGAGGCACCATCCCAGTTCAGCTGGAGAGGAGAGCAAGGTGCATTATGGGGGCTGAAGGCTGGTTGCGATGTCTAGGCTCTGAGGAAGAATGAGTACTTGGAGTATGGGGAACTATAATTCTCTTCAGGCACCACAGCTACTCAGGTGAACACAGATGGTGTTGAACTGACCCAAAAAACAAAAGAAAACAAAGCATGAAGTTACATTGCAAGAAGTTAAACACCCCCCCCCCCCCAATAAATAATTTTTTTTTTGTTTGGAACTTCCCAAGTGGAAATGAAATGTTCCATTGTGAAAACTGAAAACAACTGTTAAAATCAAAATATATACACTAACATTTTAGATTTTGCAGAAACCTCATCATCTGTCAGAAAAAAACCCTTTTTTTGTGTATAACACCCTCTAACTTGGCCAAGAAATTGGTTGTTGGACTCGTGTAAAACCAAGCGGAGTAACCAACTATAAGCAGGTCCAAAAACTGTTCGACACAGGTTACCAGAACAGGTAGATCACTGATGTGATACGTCATAGCACTTTCTATTTTCTTCACCCCAGTTGTTTTGCAGTAAGTTGGATGCAAGTTTTTCATAAGAGATAATAATAATAATGCCTCAGATATTCTAATGAATATTTAATAGATTGTTTCCACAAAGTAAATGACTGATGGATGGCAAATGCAGGAGTGTACTGTGTACAGCACTTCCACAGGAGAGCTGGTTGAAAGCAGGTTTTACATTAATAGGGCTTTTTAAAATTTATTTTTTTATTTCCCTGTGAATGGAACCAAAATACAATTTAAAAAAATTCCCACTTGGCACTGACACATGCTGCTACCCAAATGAAATACGCTCTTTTGCACCAGGGCTGCTGCACAGAGTAGCTGTCTGGTATCCTGGGTCTGTGGCTCCCAGAGCTTCCAGAGTCCCTGCTCTACAGCACAGAGACTAGAAGCCATAGCACGGCTGGCTGCTTTGGAGCCACAGACCCTGGAATCCTAGGGACCCCAGCCCTGGGGCAGTCTGCAGGCCCTGAAAGCACTAGAAATTTGGCTTTGCTGCAGTCTCCACATGGGTCTGTACCAGAGGCAGACCTAATGACATCTTGCAGTTCTCAGGAGCCACTCTAATTAAAATGCCTGCTGTATCTCATGTATTCAGGGTCTCATGCTTCAAAATGGCAGCAGGGGTGCTCTAACTAAAGCGTGGTGGTGAACTTAATTAAAGCATCCCTGCTGCCATTTTGAAATGCATGGACGCTGAATGATGCTGAGGCTGCTGGAGCATTCTAATTAGAACTCTCCAGCTGACTTAATTAATTAGAATATGTCCGAGCAGGCATTGGGCACGTGCCTACAAGGGTGGGGCCCTTGGTGCTGGGCAGTCGCATAGTGAGTCATCTTTGGAATCACAGACCCTAGAAGCCTGAGGTCCTGGCCCTGGAGCAGTCTGTGTTGCAGATGTGCCCAGGGGCCAAGGATTGTGGAGGTGCAAGGTTGTTGGCCTAGGTCTTTTGGATTTGGTGAACATTTGATTAACCTAAAATACTTTGGAGAAATGTTTCATGCTAATATTTCATGAAGCTGGTCCAACTAACTTTTCTTCACTGGATAATTTCCAGCCAGCTCTATTCCGCATAGAACAACTAATTGTTATCCATGTGAGTGCATGGTGCAAGTCACAAACTTATTCTTTTTTTAAAGAAGGAAAGTCCCAGCAGCAACATAAGGTCATTTAATGTTAAGGAAGGATTAGGGAGGAAAAGGACAGATTCTGTAAGCAGATTTGCTTTCATTGGTCTTTCCAGTTTATGGAGAGTGGTGAAGTCTGAATTCTCTCAGCTTTCCTCGCTGGCAGTTCCACTCCTTCTCCATGCTCTATCTCTTCCTCACGGAGCTGACATTTTCTGGACAATCATAAACAGCAATTTCAACAGCAAAGACTGGAAGATGAGGTTTGAAGCAGGTAAGACTAAGAGATGTGTGATATTTGTTTGCTTCTTGCTATGGTAGGAAACTGGGTTGTTTTCTTCAGTGGTTGCTTTGGTGAGTGTTTAAAAAAAATCACATGGTACTTTGATAGAGAAGAGTATAATCCATCCACCTGTGGACAATGCAGGATTGTCCTCTACACTCATCTACACTGGATTTCCTAACACTTAGTTGAACCAAATTTAAATATGTCCATTGTGGAGCACTGACCACTTGAGAGTCTCTTCTATCTTAGGAAGCTTTTCTTAATTCTCAGGTAAAATATCCCCTTTCTTAATTGTATCTCATAGCTCCTGTTCACAGCCCATTCCCTTGCAAAGTTATTAGACATAATTCTACATTACCAGCTATAATAATGGCCTATGAAACTGTCTAGGTATTTCTAGCTAAAATATTACTGTATATACCCCAGATAGCCCATAACCTGATGTTTACTATTACAGTCAACAGATTTAAAATTTAGAGAGTGACTTCACGTCTACTGTTTAGGCAACAAAGGGGTTCAAACAGAATAGAGGAATGAAACAAGAAGAGCTCTTACAGCCAATAGGTGTTATTCTCTTTTCATTTTAGCAGCTGTACCCTAGTGTATATCTGCTGACTTCTGTGGAGTTGCTTTGAAGAGAAGCTTTGTGAGCACTCGTGGTGCTCTGGAGAGGTCCTGGAGGACTGGAAGAGGGCCAACATGGTTCCCATCTTCAAAAAGGGGAGGAAGGAGGACCCGGGAAACTATAGGCCAGTCAGTCTTACCTCGATCCTGGGCAAGCTGTTCGAGAAAATTATTCTGGCACACATCCAGGAGGGGACAGCAGGGAAATGCATGCTCAGGGGCAACCAGCACGGGTTCATCAGCGGCAGGTCATGTCAGACCAACCTGGTGGCCTTCTACGATCAGGTCACTAAATCATTGGATGCAGGGGTAGCAGTGGATATAATCTTCCTGGACTTCCAGAAGGCTTTCAACACTGTCTCTCACCCCATTCTCATTAGGAAACTGGGGGACTGTGGTGTAGACACCCACACAGTCCAATGGGTCGCCAACTGGCTAGAGAGTCAGAGGGTGGTAGTGGATGGGTCCTTCTCGGCCTGGAAGGATGTGGGCAGTGGGGTCCTGCAGGGCTCGGTCCTCGGGCCCGCCCTGTTCAACATCTTCATCAGTGATTTGGATGAGGGGGTGCAAAGCACCCTGTTCAAATTTGCTGATGACACCAAGATGTGCGGGGATGTGGGCACAATAGAAGGGAGCAACAGGCTACAGTCGGACCTTGACAGGTTACAAGGATGGGAGGAGGAGAACAGGATGGGGTTCAACACAGACAAGTGCAAGGTGATGCACCTGGGGAGGAACAACCGGCACCATACCTACAGGCTGGGGAACTCCCCTCTTGTCAGCACGGAGGTGGAAAAGGATCTTGGAGTCATTATCGACTCCAAGATGAACATGGCTCGGCAGTGTGGGGAGGCGGCTAGGAAGGCCAACTGTACCTTGTCGTGCATCCACAGATGCATGCATGATCAAGGGACAGCAGGGTAGGTCCTATGAGGAAAGGTTACGGGACCTGAACCTGTTCAGCCTCCAGAAGAGAAGGCTGAGGGGGGATCTTGTGGCCTGCTATAAACTAGTCAGGGGGGATCAACAGGCACTGGGGGAGTCCCTGTTCCCCCGAGCGCCGCCAGGAGTGACCAGGAATAATGGTCACAAGCTGGCGGAGGGAAGGTTTAAGTTGGACATCAGGAGGCGCTACTTCATGATCAGGGCGGCTAGGGTCTGCAACCAGCTTCCAAGTGAGGTGGTGCAGGCTCCCACCCTGGGGGTTTTTAAGAGGAGGTTAGATGACCATCTTGCTGGGGTCGTTTGACCCCAATACTCTTTCCTGCCATGGCAGGGGGTCAGACTAGATGATCTGCCCAGGTCCCTTCCGACCCTAGAAACTATGAAACTAAGAATCAAGGCCAGGCATTTTGGTTTGGAATTGTTGTCCCACGCCCTTACTGCAGCTAAGGACTGCACATCATGGCTTGGGGAAAAAAAGGCTGCAAAGGAAACTTAGATACTCTTTGCACCAGCACAGTCAGTCCAAAGGCTGCTCTAAATTTTGCTGTTTGCCACTGGCCCTAAAAGACCTTTTTAGATTCTAGGTATTTCCCGGGCAGAGAGAATTGGGTGAAATAGTTTGTGTTTTATAGCCTTAAGACTAAGTGAGATAATAGTCTGTTCTGGCTTTGGAATCTATGACCCTGTGAACTGAGATACTTGGGTCATGCCCTTTTCTTCCAGTCATGCCTCCTAGCCTAGCTTCTGGCATGTTGGGAGATGCTGTGCCACCAAAGGATCCTCCTCTGTTGGGGTGTTTTTCAGGCAGCTGGGCGTGCTTCAGCTGGGCATGCTTCAACTACTTTGCACTGGAAGGGTGGAAGTATATTGGAGAATCTGGGAAACTGTAAATTACTGGGTATAAAATAAAAATGTATGATGATACTTGTCATCAGTGGTGAAATTCGAAACTAAGCTGAAGTTCCAGGTCTTCATTGTTGTGTTCTATGAGATGTCACCTGCATGTTTTGCT